ATGTGTGCGTTTTTTTGTAGGGAAAGATGAAGCAAATTTTGGGATCTACTCTGCTGGATTCGTCGCAGTCTTCGCTGGTTGTGAATTTCGAGTCGGAGAAATCGGCTGCCGAGTTTGCTGGAATGTATCGCCGCGATGATCTTCCCGGCGGACACGTGATCATGCTCGGGGGAGATTCTTTGAGCCTGAAAGCAGCGCTCGCGGCACTGGAAGCGTATCTAGGCAAGTAATGTTCTTTTTTCTTACTATTGCATTTGTTTCTAGATTTTGACAGCTCTCGTTTCTGCTAGATTTCAGGCGGCTTGCAGATCGGTGGTGGTGTCAACTTGGGGAACGCGAAGTCTTATCTCGATGCTGGAGCGAGTCATGTGATTGTCACCTCGGTGAGTGTTTTATATCAGTCTTATGAGGGAATAACTCCAACTTTGGTTTTTCTAGTTCGTGTTTAAGGACGGCAAGGTCGACACTGAAAGGCTCCAGCAGCTAGTACGCCTTGTTGGCCGGAAGAGGCTCGTTTTGGACCTGAGTTGCAGAAAGAAGATGGATAGCTTGTAACACATGAAACTTTTGCGACGAGTTTCTTGTCCATGGGGTGGACGTCGAAGGAAAGCAGTAAGACAAGTAGTAAGAATAGTTTAAGCTGGAACCTTATCGCTGCTACCCCAGGCTGGGAATCGACGAGGAGCTTGTCAAGATCTTGGGCCAATGGTCTCCAGTACGTATCATCTTGGACTCTTCATGATCTTGGTGTCTTAGTTGTGAGTGAGTATTGATGTAGATCCCGGTTACGTATGCTGGTGGAGTAACATTGCTCGAAGATCTGGATCTCATAAAAAATGCTGGGGGCGTTGTAGACGTGACTCTTGGCTCTGCTCTCGACATATTTGGAGGCAATGTTTCATATTCCGATGTCTTGAGTTGGCACAGAGATCAATCCTGAATTCATTTCCGAGGTTGACCAACCCCAAATTGTAAGACCAACACTTCGCATTCTAAAACTCGGTGGGAGCCTCTGTGTGTATGGCTGCCCCTTTTGTTTTCTCATTCCTTTTGCTCGGAGAAATGGCTCCTTCTCAAAAGCTTCTGCTTGCGTGCCTTCTCATCACTGCTGCTTTTGCTGCTGGAAATGAAGGTAGCAGTTTTCTTCTCTAGAATGTTGATAGTTTCTTTCTGTTTGAGCTGGATTTACAGACCATGTGATGGATCAAACAAACACTTGTGGGCTCAATAGAGCTCTGTGCGTGTTTTCCATGATTTTTGGTTGGATGGTTTTTGTATTTCTTTTCAAGGCTAGGCCATGTTATGTTCTTCCGCTTTGAGAACTTAACCTAAACAAGTTTTTTTCACTTCCACAAGTCCCATTGTAAAACATTGCTTGGAAATGCCTGCCATTGTAGCGCAAAGACTGGCCAAGGTGGCTGGACAATTCAAGGCCAAGGACCGAGACTTTCGTTTACAACCCAGGCCAGTCTATACCAACCAGTGCCAAAACATTTGCAACTTCGCTGTTAGAAAGCCATGGCTGGAACTGCCTAGTGCCTATCGCAATTTGGCCAGGTCTTATTAGAACTGGCCAGGCACTATTAAGGTGGAGTTATCTTTAGTTGTGAACTCTCAAAGAACATAACATGGCATAAGGCATTACAATGTTAAATACTGATCCTACTGCTGCAATGCCATTTGAACTCCTTGCTATGAACACATGTTCTCAGGGAAGATCACCCGTAGGTACATTCCAGCAAACTTGGCAGCCGATTTCTCTGACTCAAAATTCACAACCACTGAATCCATCAGAGTAGACCCCATCAGTTGCTTCCTTACTCATTGTATTATCTCTACACTCCATAAAGAACCCTTACATTGTATGCAGGGGTGAAACCGCACAGCTTGACGATCCGCTGGAATTCTCCCATGTGAATTGCAATCCCAGGAGCACCAATGAGTTCAAAACCGGGGAGATTCTTTGAGCTTGAAAGCAGCGCTCACGGCACTATTGGGCAAGTAATGTTTAGAAAATGTTTCTTTCTATTACATTGATCTTCTGCTGGCTTGCAGATCGGTGGTGGTGTCAACTTGTGGAACGCGACTCGATGCTAGAGCGAGTCATGTGATTGCCAGTGCTTGATCGTCTTAGGTTGGACCTGAGTTGCAGCAAGAAGGCGAGTAAATTCCTTGTAGTAACATATCTAAAAGAAAAAGTTTTGTCAGGATGGAGTATACTGACTGGTGGCAAAAAGTTTAGTGATCTGCCAAGCATTGATAGAAACTCTAGCTGGTTTAGCGCAATCGCAACTATCATGTCCATGAGGTGGATCTCGGAATGAAAACGTAAGACAAGTAGAATAGTTTAAGCTGGAATCCTACCGCCACACCAGGCTGGGAATCGATGAGGAGCTTGTCAACATCTTGGTCTCCAGTACGTATCATCTTGGACTCTTCATGCTTAGTTGTGAGTGACTATTGGTGTAGCTCCCGGTTACGTATGCTGGTGCAGTAACATCGCTCGAAGATCTGGATCTCAACAGAAATGCTGGACTGCTGGCTCTTCTCTCGACATATTTGGAGGCAATGTTTCATATTGCGATGTCTTGAGTTGGGACAGAGATCAGCAAAAAACTGTTGATTTACTTGTCATAACCTTTGTCTATATCACATTTTTGGTTGTGATGTGGGAGCAGGCAAATGTGGATCAGGATTCCAAGCATAATTATGTTCATGGTAACGGTAATCAACAATAACTCAAGTAGCTACCATTCAGTGACCAACACTTCACACTGTGTCTCATGGAGCTTTACCTTGTGCTTGCTCATCACTTCTGCTTTTGCTGCTGGAAATGAAGGTAGCAGTTTTCTTCCCTAGAATCTTGATAGTTTCTTACTGTTTTGAGTACACTCGGGCAGGATCTGTACTGTAAAGGAAGGCTAAGATCCACAGAGAAAACGTCATGGAAAACACACAGAGAGTTATACTATTGAGCACTGTAGTTTGCTGATGGATCGCCATGGTCGTCGCTGGTGTGGACACAGAAACTATCGAGATTTTGGAGAAAGAACTAAACAAAACTGCAGCGGCAAAAGCCGCAGTGATGACCAGGCATGAGAGGAGCGATGCAAGCACAAGCTTTCGAGTAGGAGCCATAATTTCTGGAGAGCCAAGAGAAAAGAGAATAGATTGAGCAAACAAAGCGGGCAATCTCCCATAGATAAAGATCCAAGAGCACGAACTCACACAAAAGCTCGCACAAACTTTTACTCCAGAGGCAGTAGTAGCACCTTAACGTTGATAACCATGGTTTCACCACCATGGTTGGAATGATCTACAATGAAACACACGTTCTCAATGCTCAAGTCAGAATAGATATCAGCAAAAGACGAACTTCTTGAAAAGGAAATTTGGAGCTGTTGGATTCTTTCTCAGCTGGCAAACTTCCGCCTTCAGTGACTCAAATTCGCTTTACATCCATGCTGGAGATCAGAACCAAAGCTACTGAACTCTCTCTGCGTTCCAGAATATGCAATCGAACAAATCTTCAGTTATGTCAAGGTTCGTTCCCAGTAAGTTCAGTTCACTAGTACTGCGCGTACTCCTCTCAAACTGTGGATTGCCATTTAAGCGGGACAACGCTCCCACCTCCAAAACCAGCGAGCCTGAGAGAAAAAATCCATGAAATTTTCTACGGCCAGAATTATGGTATATTTAGTAAAGTGTATTTAATTTGATTTATAAAGATCCTTTACAATTAGGGCTTGCGTTCTTTCTTTCTTTTTTATCACAGCGATGAAGAGGGCGAGAGAATATGGCGATTGGAGTTTTGCAACGCTCGACATGGTGACCAAAGTAAAGAACAAAAAGGTAAAGGTGACACACAGTTCTCCACTACTACCGCCAGCTTTGGAGGAGAAACCGACGCTTGTGTTAGACATGGACGAGACACTAATCCATGCCCACAAGGCTATAGCGTCCCTCAAGCTCTTCAGTGGGAAGACTCTTCCATTGCAGCGCTACCTTGTCGCAAAGCGGCCGGGTGTGGATACATTTCTAAATGAGATGAGTGAGATATACGAGATTGTGGTTTTTACTCGAGCGGTGAAGCCTTATGCGGACAGGATATTGGATAGGCTCGACCCAGCTGGGAATCTCTTCACCCATCGCCTCTACAGAGATTCATGCTCGCCCAAGGAAGTGGGAGGGAGAAAGGTTGTGAAAGATCTTTCGAGATTAGGGCGGGACCTCAGACACACGGTGATCGTGGACGACAAGCTAGAGTCCTTTTGCTTGCAGCCCAGCAATGGAATTGTCATCCGTGCATTCAAAAACAAGAAAGGGCATAAATATGATGAATTGAAGAAAATAAGCAATCTGCTTAAGGAAATTGCAAGAGCTGAAGATGTAAGACAAGCGTTGGAGAAGCTTAAAAGTTAGACAAAAGATCTTGTAAAAGGAAACTCATGTATCCACTGTGTATGCTGTAACAACTGCTCACTCTAAATTGATTGTGGCACTGTCTCCCTCACAAAAACAAATGTCCAATTTAGCTTTGGAAACAATGTTATGGCAAATCATAATCAGAAAGACATCTCGAGTTTCAGTCTGATTCATTACTTGAGAGTCAATCGATAATTGTGATGCTTAAGCAGCGTCATCCTCTCTGTCCTGAAACGCAACGTAGAGCCTCCCAAAATCCCATGGCTCGATCACCTGGCCTATCCTTTTAGTGTGGCTTGACAAGAGTGGTATATAGTTTAGATACGATCTCATTATGCTCACTGTTTTGTTGTCCATCCCCACCTACAAATCAAACATGGACGAGAGTGGTATATAGCTTGGATACGATCTCATTATGCTCACTGTTTTGTTGTCCATCCCCACCTACAAATCAAACACGGAGTGAGGAAAACAAAACGAAAACAAAGTTTGTAAACGACAGAAGTTTATACCTGTAAGATATCTCCAGTGAATAAAACACCCCTCCCTTGAGCTCCATGAGACCAGTGGAGGATAGCAAAATGGCTAAAAGCGTGAGTCCCTCCCATAGTAGAACTTACCCTTTTCGTGCTGGTAAACCACTCTGCAAAAGTATGGATACAGAGAGATCGAAACGAAAGAGAGAAACAAAGGTAGACAATACCATTCGTGGGTATAAACCGGGACGCCTCCAAAAGCCTCGCTCCATCGAGAGTTTGTGCTGTAGTAATGCGGGTGAGAGATGGCAATCGCTCTCAATCCACCTAGTGACTTGGTTATCTCCACTGTGGCATCGTCTAGAAATGAGATGCAGTCCCACAGTATGTTTCCCTCTATCAAAAACATAAAAACCATAAAAAATGCGCAACGGCCATAGCTCCAAACATACATACCTTGAGTCTGGATGAGAAACGCACGCTGTCCAATGCCAAACTTTGGAAAGGTTATGATCTCGAAGACCTGCGGCTCATGCTTCTTGAAACCATTGCGAAACTGCAATCTCATCTTGCTCATGGACGTCCATACCTGACCTTCCCTAAAACTAAAAGTCAAGAAAACTCGAGACCTCCAGGATTTCTGAGAAAACATCCCACCAGACGTGTGCCTCCATAACTTTGAAATCCAAGAGTGTTAACAGGGACTCTCGTGGTGTCTTTGTAGAAAGCAATAACGCCGTGCATTGCTTAGAAACCTTAAGAGATGACCAAGATCTCAGTAAAAGGACAAACTTGTTAAAAGTCGAGGAGAAAGGTTGACAGACCTTGAGATCCTCTGGAGATATCATCAGCTGCTGGATGTGGTGGAGGCGGAGCAGAACCTCAGGTCAGACCCTGCTTATCCTGCTTACTATCACTCGCATGGCCAAGCCTCCTGTTTGAGCGGTGTTGGACGCTCCATTGAAGCAAGCGCATATAACACGGTTAAACACGTTTCTTACTGGAAAGCCATCGGTATAGAGCAGCTGACGACTATCAGCTAGAACGCAGCGTATTTGGAGGGTTCCAGTCTGTATGGCCACCTATTTTTCACTCGTTTAGTTCTCTCCAAAATATACATGAGTTTTCTTGTACCTGTAGATGGACTTAGGACAGACGTCCGAGATGTAGATCGTATAGTAGATGTGCATTTCATGTAGACGATGTTTCCATAAGTATGGATAGTGCTGTCCTTTTGGAAAGTGCTGGCTTGTCCGATCATCACAACCGTGTCAACATAATCGAAAACTCACAACTGGAAAAGAAGAAACAAGAAGAGAGCAAACGGAATAAGAGCTTACCGGATAGGATAGATCTTGCACTGCCGCTGAGACGCTCAACCCAAACGTAAGCTGCGCCAAGACACTAGGAGATGATATCCTTTTGATCCATCGCCCGGAAAACCAGCCTGCTCTCTTCCACTTGTGTCCAGGAAGTTAATTCTGTCGTTGACGAGCGCGCCCGGCATTTGGAGTGCAGCTGAGCGATCGGGGATGCCATGAAAAACATCGGGAAGCTAGAACCTGCCAGGACTTGAACCTCGGACGTCCCCATCATCCAACGGCCATGATGCGATGCGCATAAGAGCTTGCCGCCCTCGTCACATCTTGCGACAATGGCCGCCGGATCCATCGCCCAGATCCTTCACAGCGACCACAACAACAGCGTCTTCCTGCGAAATCTCCTCGTCCAGATGTATGGCCGCTGCGGCTGCCTGGAGGAAGCGCGATCGGTCTTCGATTCTACCTCGGATCCCAATCTCTTCTCTTGGAATCTCACCCTCCAGGCCTACATTTGCAACCACGACCTGAAGCCGCGGCCGGTGACGTGCAGCGCGCCAAGCAGCTCTTCGATCGCATCCCTGCAAAGAATTCCATCACCTGGGACGCGATGATCGAGATGTACTCGCCGAGTGGCAATCTCGGCGAGGCGGAGGCGGTATTCCACTCCATGCCGGAGCAAACCCTGGTTTCTAGCACGGCCATGATCGTGCCATATGCCCATAACGGGCATCTCTCACGCGCCGTGGACGGCCATGATCCAAGGCCACTGCCAGAACCAGCGGCTGGATGAAGCTAAAGATCTCTTTGATAGAATGCCCTAGTAACATGGACGACCATGATCACCAGGCCGGGCATATGGAGCAAGCAAAGAATCTCTTTGAAGATGCCCCGGATCTTAATGAGGTGGCATTTACGGCTATGATCGACGGCTATGCACCTCATGGCTGCTTGGAGGAGGCTAAATGTTTGTTTGAGAGGCACGTGGTGGCCTGGAACTCCATGCTTGGCACATATGCCTCGAATGGGCATTTGGACGAGGCACTAGATTCCTTCCTAAAGATGGCTCATCTCTTGGGCAACAATGATCCATATGCTCACCTCTAGAAACCATCTTGAAAATGCAATGTTTATTTACGATCGAATGCCTTACAAGAGCAAGATGGCGCGCACAGTGCTCCTCTCGGCCTATCTCTGGAATTGGCCACCTCCAAGAAGCAATGAGCCTCTTCCGGGCACCAAACTCTCTAAGCTCTCGAGAGAATGCCAGAGCAAGACTTAGTCTCACACACACAATGTTAAGAGTTAAATTCCAAGACTGATGTAAAACACTTACCGAGGTGACAACACATGACTCGCCCCAGTATCGAGATAGGACTTCGCGTTCCCCGAGTTCATACCACCACCAACCTGCAAGCCACTTGGAATCTAGCAGAAAACAGCGCTTTTCAAAATCTAGAAATTGTATACGCTTCCACTGCCGCGAGCGCTGCCTTCAGGGTCAATGAACGTGTCCTCCGACTCGAAATTCACAACCAGCGAAGACTGTGACAAATCCAGCAGAGTAGACCCGGCCAGCAAGATCATCCATTTCTTGACCACTTTATTTTCTCGAGTCAAGCTTAACTTCAAAGAACAAAACATGGCCTAGCCGTGTAAAGGAAGGCTAAGATCCACAGAAAAAACGCCATGGAAAACACACAGAGAGTTATACTATTGAGCACTGTAGTTTGCTGATGGATTGCCATGGTCGTCGCTGGTGTGGACACAGAAACTATCGAGATTTTGGAGAAAGAACTAAACAAAACTGCAGCAGCAAAAGCCGCAGTGATGACCAGGCATGAGAGGAGCGATGCAAGCACAAGCTTTCGAGTAGGAGCCATAATTTCTGGAGAGCCAAGAGAAAAGAGAATAGATTGAGCAAACAAAGGGGGCAATCTCCCATAGATAAAGATCCAGGAGCACGAACTCACACAAAAGCTCGCACAAACTTTTACTCCAGTGGCAGTAGTAGCACCTTAACGTTGATAACCATGGTTTCACCACCATGGTTGGAATGATCTACAATGAAACACACGTTCTCAATGCTCAAGTCAGAATAGATATCAGCAAAAGACGAACTTCTTGAGGCGAGTTTAGATTGGAGCTAAGGGAAATTTGGAGCTGTTGGATTCTTTCTCAGCCAGCAAACTTCCGCCTTCAGTGACTCAAATCCGCTTTACATCCATGCTGGAGGTCAGAACCAAAGCTACTGAACTCTCTCTGCGTTCCAGAATATGTGATCGAACAAATCTTCAGTTATGTCAAGGTTCGTTCCCAGTAAGTTCAGTTCACTAGTACTGCGCATACTCCTCTCAAACTGTGGATTGCCATTTAAGCGGGACAACGCTCCCACCTCCAAAACCAGCGAGCCTGAGAGAAAAAATCCATGAAATTTTCTACGGCCAGAATTATGGTATATTTCGTAAAGTGTATTTAATTTGATTTATAAAGGTCCTTTACAATTAGGGCTTGCGTTCTTTCTTTCTTTTTTATCAGAGCGATGAAGAGGGCGAGAGAATATGGCGATTGGAGTTTTGCAACGCTCGACATGGTGACCAAAGTAAAGAACAAAAAGGTAAAGGTGACACACAGTTCTCCACTACTACCGCCAGCTTTGGAGGAAAAACCCACGCTTGTGTTAGACATGGACGAGACACTAATTCATGCCCACAAGGCCACAGCGTCCCTCAAGCTCTTCAGTGGGAAGATTCTTCCATTGCAACGCTACCTTGTCGCAAAGCGGCCGGGTGTGGATACATTCTAAATGAGATGAGTCAGATATATGAGATCGTGGTTTTTACTCGAGCGGTGAAGCGTTATGCGGACAGGATATTGGATAGGCTCGACCCAGCTGGGATCTCTTCACCCATCGCCTCTACAGAGATTCATGCTCGCCCAAGGAAGTGGGAGGGAGAAAGGTTGTGAAAGATCTTTCAAGGTTAGGGCGGGACCTCAGACACACGGTGATCGTGGACGACAAGCCAGAGTCTTTTTGCTTGCAGCCCAGCAATGGAATTGTCATCCGGGCATTCAAAAACAGGAAAGGGCATAAATATGATGAATTGAAGAAGATAAGCAATCTGCTTAAGGAAATTGCAAGAGTTGAAGATGTAAGACAAGCATTGGAGAAGCTTAGAGCTTAGACAAAAGATCTTGTAAAAAGAAACTCCATGTATCCACTGTGTATGCTGTAACACTGCTCACTCTAAGTTGATTGTGGCATTTTCTCCCTCACAAAAACAAATGTCCAATTTAGCTTTGGAAACAATGTTATGGCAAATCATAATCAGAAAGACATCTCGAGTTTCAGTCTGATTCATTACTTGAGAGTCAATCGATAATTGTGATGCTTAAGCAGCGTCATCCTCTCTGTCCTGAAACGCAATGTAGAGCCTCCCAAAATCCCATGGCTCGATCACCTGGCCTATCCTTTTAGTGTGGCTTGACAAGAGTGGTATATAGTTTAGATACGATCTCATTATGCTCACTATTTTGTTGTCCATCCCCACCTACAAATCAAACATGGACGAGTGGTATATAGCTTGGATACGATCTCATTATGCTCACTGTTTTGTTGTCCATCCCCACCTACAAATCAAACATGGAGTGAGGAAAACAAAACGAAAACAAAGTTTGTAAACGACAGAAGTTTATACCTGTAAGATATCTCCAGTGAATAAAACACCTCTCCTTGAGCTCCATGAGACCAGTGGAGGATTTGTGCAAGGCTAAAAGCGTGAGTCCCTCCCATAGTAGAACTTCACCTTTTCGTGCTGGTAAACCACTCTGCAAAAGTATGGATACAGAGAGATCGAAATGAAAGAGAGAAACAAAGGTAGACAATACCATTCGCGGGTATAAACCGGGACGCCTCCAAAAGCCTCGCTCCATCGAGAGTTTGTGCTGTAGTAATGCGGGTGAGAGGTGGCAATCGCTCTCAATCCACCTAGTGACTTGATTATCGCCACTGTGGCATCGTCTAGAAATGAGATGCAGTCCCACAGTATGTTTCCCTCTATCAAAAACATAAAAACCATAAAAAATGCACAACGGCCATAGCTCCAAACATACATACCTTGAGTCTGGATGAGAAACGCACGCTGTCCAATTCCAAACTTTGGAAAGGTTATGATCTCTAAGACCTGCGGCTCATGCGTCTTGAAACCATTGCGAAACTGCAATCTCATCTTGCTCATGGACGTCCATACCTGACCTTCCCTAAAAGTCAAGAAAACTCGAGACCTCCAGGATTTCTGAGAAAACATCCCACCCAGACGTATGGAGCGTGTGCCTCCATAACTTTGAAATCCAAGAGTGTTAACAAGGACTCTCGTGGTGTCTTTGTAGAAAGCAATAACGCCGTGCATTGCTTAGAAACCTTAAGAG